TCTTCTAATAACTATTTCATCGTGTTCTTTGCTCCTGTTCTTATTGCATAAGTAAAAGTTGCCTCTGCTGGTCTTGGTGTGGTTGTCTTTCATCAAACATCTGGTGAGGTAGATGTTTTGGGGGAGAGGGAGAAGGAACAGATAAATATTAGTGGCTGACTTTGTTTTGTAGCTGCATAAAGGTTATGTTACTGATGAGCATTTTGGGAGACTCTAGTTGCTGGAATTGTGGAGCTGGTTGCAGTATAACAGCTGTACAAACAAGATGATGCCACATGTCCTTCTCATGCAGTTTATGGAGTCTCTGAGTTTCTGGGAGAGAGTAGTAGTAAGCTACAGCTGCTTTCCACAAGTGGGGTATTAGGTAAGCAGGTCTAAGTTGTGTTTAAGTGACCCACTTAAGGCAGGTTTAGAGTTGAATCCGCACCACAGAACAGCTGTAAGAAATGACTGAATCTCATCCACTCCCACCACTTTTTTTCTTTTTTAGTAACATCTTAACAGGTGCTCGCTAAGTAATCACTGCACAGTATCTGTGCATCACCTATTGGAACTGTAAGGCTATTAATTCCATAAGCTTGGATGATAACCAGATGGAACACACTGAGTTCATTAAGGGTTAACTGTTGGTTTGGCAGGGTCAGAAGTGGGCTGGAGTTTCCTGTAATCAAACGGGCAGAAGCTGCAGTCAGGAGGGTTTTGTTTGTTTTGGGTTTTTTTCTGTAAGAAGTCCCAATGATAATCTTAGTGAGTAAAACACAGATGAATAAATTCACTATTAATTCTGTACATAGGAGTTGAAATATTTGCACTGAAAACATGGAATTTAAGTTACATGTTTTATTTAAACTCAGAGGTCGTGGGAAATCAGTTTAGGAGAAGAATGAACTGCTGTGATATAAGGGAAAAGACCTGTTGCCATTACCCCACTGTGTTGTAGACCCGAGGTAGACAGTGTTATATCTGTTTGCATGTGCTTGGAATTTTGTTGTGTTTTATTTACTGAAAAACAGCCTCAGAATGAGAATGATGTAGCTAAAGGTCAAAACAAGATTGTTTAAAGCCAGCTGTGAATTAGGCCTCATTTACACCACAGAGCCTCTGCCCCAAAGCTATGTCAGCATGTTTGTGCTGGTAGAAATCTCCTTTGTAAATAAAATCAGCAGGTTCAACACACAATCTTACTGGGTTTGTTGTCACTCATTTAGCCCCAGAACAGATGGTCTTCCTGCATCCTTCTTATTAGTCTGTGTTTATGTAGTGACACATAAAGCCATTTACTCAATTAAAATGACACTTCTAGCAACAATTGATGATAAATAAGTTATCAAAATGTTCTGTGTGTGCTTTCCAGTGCGGTTAGTGTTCAGAAAAGGTCTCATGAGGTCCTTCTTGTGCTGTCATCTGATTGTGCTTTTACCAGACTCTCAGCAGACGATACTTTAGTGGTGGGCTTGTGGGTTGAGAGAAAAGGTCTAAGAGACCACAGATACTATAGTTTCCAATTAATTACTCCTCCTGTCTGTTCTATGAAGGACACGTAACAACCAGATAATCCAAATCCAGCCCCTGAAATATATTGCTAACAGCCCTTCTTGAGATGTACTTATGGCAAACCTTAAGGTTTGTGAAAGTGGAAGACAGTAGAAGAGGAAAGCAGGCTTGAATAATTTCTTTTGTGCCAAGAATTTCTGGACATGGGGGGTCAGAAAGTGAGATAAGACTGTTCTTTCTCTGAGCAGTTTCCTTGAGGATCAGTCTTCACCCTACAGTGTTATATTCTTCAGTAAGAGCAGCACGAAGATTAGCATGTATATCAGCAAAAATGACTCATCAAATACCAGGCTGCTGCCTTCAGATACACTGGTGGGGAAAGGCACAAGCTGACTTCTTGCATTTCTGAGCTACTTGCTGGTAGCTCCCTAAGATGAATCTGTGCTTCAGCACTTTGGAGGTGTGCTGTAGTAGTACATCTGCCTTATGCTCAGGAAATCTTATCTGTTGCCTTACCAGAAAGATTAGTCTAACCAGAATAAAAGCAAATGTATTAGTCTGGAGTTACGAGCTTATCACACATCAAATACATTTAGGATGCTGTAACACAAAGGTTTCTTCAGGTCGTTATCCAACCTTGAAGCGCTTCAGTGTGTTTCAGTTGTGTTCCCTGTTACTTGATACTTTAAGTAATGTGTTTAGGATGGTATAGTTTTAGTTAAGTCTGTCACCTAAAAGCTATTCTCAATTCAGTCTCTGGGCCTCATTAGCTTCTCTTTCTTATAAGCTTTCCAAGTTTTTTCTTTCCTGTTAGTGCACGGAAACTGGGAGGCTGTTCTCTGACACTTGGTTGCTAGCCTGTCTCGTAAAGGTGCTCTGGGTTTGAGGTATGAAGTGCTCATAAACAGACTGAATAGACTGTCTGCTTGAATTGATCTTCTCTGTAGACCTGTGATGAATATGTATGTACACCATATGTGATTTGCACTGCAGGTGTCATGACCCTCACACAGTTGTGCCAGTCTAAAAGGTTAGGTTGTGCTAAGGCTGATAAAAGAAGGACAGGTGTAGAGTGTGGTACTCTCTGGATAACATATGCCATTCATGCTCTTTAACCTTGTCAGCTGGACTTTTTCCAGTTATGCTCATCCATTTTGCTCTTAATTACAAGGTATGTCCAAAAATTAAACTAACGAGGCAGTCTAGTTTAGTTGCTGTTCCTGTAGTGTTTGCTCTACAAAGAACATTGAAGCAAACGGACATCTTTCATTTTTAGTAGCATTTCTTAACTCACTTACTTGTTCAGCATTTGTGTAAAAGTCAATAAAATGACAATAACAAGACACATGAAAATTAAGTAATGACACATAGTGTGATGGATCTGAAATATAAAAGTTAGCTAGAGTTCCGTTTTGTCTTCAAAAAATGTAAATGTATTTGTAGGTTGTCTGCCTTGATATTCTCAGGATATCATTCCCAGCTTTTACTTTGTCTTGTTCTTTGCTGTTCTGAAAAATAAAATTACATTTATGTTAATTACACGTAACAGATAACCTGACTTTATAAGTCATATTTTTTTGCCTCATGTAAGTTAAATAGGGTCAGAATATTTACTCATAGATCACTGAAACAGTATAAAAGTCTTTTAAGCTGTTTTCTATCCATTTGTTGGTCGCATATCTAACTTTGTAATATCCATGAGCTCAAGAAAAATCTTGTCCCGAGTATGTGAATTAAACTATGCTTCAGGCATAGCATTGCACAAGACTCAGGATTTTGTTTTGTCAGAAACAGCTACCACACATACAGAATCCTAGGATTCCTTGCATGCATTTTTCAAAATGATACCAAACATCAACTCCTGAGTGAGCATTTAATTCAGCATTTTGTGTTACTTGTTCAGTGTTTGCAGCATTTTTCAGCTGTTAAAAAAAATAAATAACAGAGCTCCTTTGTTTCTACAAAGTTTTATCCCAGCAGTATGCCTCTCAGTTACTGCTGAGGAAACGTCGAGCAAATTCTTTCATGGAAGAAAGTAAGAAGGGAAATCTAGAAAGAGAATGCATTGAAGAATTATGCAATAAGGAAGAAGCCAGGGAAGTCTTTGAAAATAATCCAGAAACTGTAAGTAATTTATGAATATATACGAGGTAGATAGTAGTCCTTTGCTGGGGAAAAGGTAGAGGTACATAGAATTCATACTTAAAGCTGAAAGAACCTTACCCTGAAGACCAAGAGCTGGTTTGAAATGCTTTTGTGTATAGAATCTGAACAATTAATAATCAAGATTGTATAAGCAAAATTAACAGTTGGGTAGATAGTATTTTAATTTCTGGTTGGGGTCACCAGTTTTAGACCACAGTTGCCTGCAAAAACATTCCATGTGGGGAAACTCTTCTGGCTTCAGTTAAAGTTTTGCACAGAGGACTCATGGCAGTGCAGCACTTTTAGAAAGTGTTCGTTATATTACTGCAAGATTTTTTTCAAAGTGGGGAATACTCTGTTCCTCAGTTCATTCACACTGCACATTATTTAGCAGTAGGTATATTTTATTCAAGTTTGTACTACAAAAGGTTTATTATATTTTGCAAACAATATCAGTTCTGTGTTCTGTCTTTGATAATATGAAGGTATTTGAATATAGTGATTGGATATAGTGAATGTAAGTTTAAGTAGTTTGAGTAATCAATAATCAGTTGTTTTTACTAATTTTTGCTTTAGTAACATTTTTCATTTTATTTCCAGTGAAATGCATATGAGCAGTTAAACTTTTTTCAGGGGTTTTTGTTCATTTTAGGTTGAAAAAGGGAAATAAAGGAGGCTCCTCTGCATCCAGTAACAACATCAGGCAAGATCCTTCCATTTAAAAGAGACAATTTTCTAAGTAATCTTGACACCCAATTCATTTTCATTGCCTTCACTTTGCAAGTGTCCAATTCAGTGCAGTATCTTGCAATACTCATTGTATAGCAGTAATCTCCTGGTTTAGCCTAAGCAGTAGTGATACAGAAACTTGGCCTATATTCTGTGAGTCAAAGTAACTTTTTTCTTCTGTTGTAATTGTAATACCAATATATTATAGAACATACTCGGTGATATATTTTGCTGTAATTATGTCTACTTTAAATTTTTCTTAATGCCTATTTTTCTTTTCTCTCTGCAGGAGTATTTTTATCCCAAATACTTAAGTAAGTACAAAAAAACCTGAACAACTCTAGCATTTCATACACTGATCCTCTTATCTGGATAATACTAATTTCGTTATTCTGCCCATAGCACTTGAATGATTTCCATGCTGCTTATAATGCACAGGATCTCCTAGGCAGTTCTGTGTGCTTAGATCCTAGCAGAGGCACTCAGAAGTGGTCTGTCATCAGCTGTCCTTAACATGCCCAGACAGGTTTTCTAATTCAAGCTGTGGGAACAGAGACTTTGAAGATGCCATACATAAAGTGTTGTAATTTCTGTCTCAATAAGTGTTTGTATCATAAGCAGGTTGTGTGGGTTTGTGTTTGCAGGCTGCCTTGCCTCCCATCGAGCAGGAGTGTTCAGGGTTACTGCAGTTACTCCAGATTCTCCAGCTGACCTGAGGGCTTGTGTCAAAGGTAAGTGCTGCTCTCAGATGCTTTACCTAATGCACTCAGATCTAAGAACGCGTACATGGCTAGAAAGCAGTTCACATAGGCAGAAAAAGAGACAAATAACCACTTAGGCACACTCAACCTAAAACAGAAATTGACAAATCATGTTAGGTGAGATGGAGCATTTTCAGGGAAAGCAGTTTAAGTGACACTGGAAAGAAACATAATTAACTCAAAACGGAAGGCAGAATTGTTCCAGAAACAGAAGTGTCCTACACCAACCCACCAGTGTTCCCCACTATGCCCTCTGTACTCTATAATGTCTTTTAGTTATGCCTAACTCTTTGCACCTTTGGCAGTTAAGGTAGGAGACCATCTGGTTAATTACTTTCTAGCACTCTTTGGCCATTAGTTACACTGTAGCCCTTCATGAAGAGTAACACTGCCAGCTAAAAAACTGAAATGTTATCTGGAACACATAGTCATTGACTCCAAACAGCAAAGCATGAAATTTGTGGTGTTTCTCAAATGCTTTTTTATCCCTATACATTCTTAAGCTCTGTGTGAATGCTGGTCTTTCTAGCAAATTCACAGCTAGTGAGTCCTATCATATTCTCCACTTGTCACAGTTTAAACATCTCTCTAAACCTCAAACTTTTGCAGCCTGGTTATATCAAAGAAACTTTCAGCTAGTTTGAATATAGATATCCTTGACCATCTGACACTGGTTTTGTCAGTGAAAGCAGTGGAAGGAAAACAAATCCTAAATAATGACACTGCACATGGTCATGGATGTACATATTTTCCAGATCACTTAGCCAACGTGACTACTGTCACAAGCTAAA